AACATCTGCTGCAGTGACCTGAGGACTGTCTGTAACTCCAAAATGAGTGATCTGGACAGTCACTCCTGCCCTCAGTGCAGTGAAGGTTGTGCTCTACACCCTGGGGAAGTTTGGTACCCTGTTAAAAGAACACCTGATGTGTTTAGTTATGCTGAAACAGCCCCCTGGGCTCAGCACAGATCAGAGAAGGTGAAGCCACCAGTGCCTCCTTTGCAGTCAGATTTCCACCTCCTTGAAGGATCAGCTGCTTCCACACAACAAAAGCAAAAGCACACCTCCAAAGAAAGATTCCCAAAACCAAAGCCATATTGTGGCTGGCTTTTACATCCTTAATCCTCCATCCCAGGGAGTTTTTTGCCAGTAAAAAAGGGGCTAGGATGATTTCTTTATCCTTCTTACCAACACTGCCATGCCAGCTCAGGCCCTCCTTTCCCTGGAGTCTGGGAGACGCCGTGCCTGGGATCCCCCACCTGCCTCTCACCACTGACAAGGAGCAGAGGCTCCCTCCCTCGTGCAGCCCTCCCTTTTGAGAAGGGAAGCACCAGAGGAAGTTCTTCTCCCACGGGCACTTCTGATGCCTTGTGAAGGCTGACCTAGATCAGAGACTATTCAGAGCTAAGGAATAAAGTAGGGATTTTTTAAGAGGCCTCAATAGATCCACCTTGGGCAGCACAACTCAAAATGGTCACAAAATGGACCATCAATCTTGGGGTCTCACATTTTTATAAGTTTTGGCCTATTAGCATATTGGAGCTAGTTGTCTAATTACAGCTTTAGGTTATGAAGTCCCATCTTTCCTGTTTTCTCTCTTCAGTCCACATTGTTTCTGCTCTTGGCGTGAGCTCTGGATTGGCTGTCTTCGGGTTCCCAGCTAGAGAAGGAATTGTTTTGTCTACTTATTCTGTGAAGAGAGCTTACTGTCCTCTAATATGAAGCCTAGACTTGCACACTACAGCAGAACAAATTCTGAAAAGGATAAAAGCTAAACCTGAGGCACCACATCGAACATCAGCACTGGGGCCTCTGAGCAGACCCCAGGCTGAAGCTCTGCTTCCATCACTTGTGTTTGTATCCTCCACTGAAACCCAACTCGCCCATGTGAGTCCCACCAGCTGCTTCCAATCTTCTGAGCAGGACTGCTCTGTGCTATAAACTTCAGCTTTCCAAACACAAGCATCATCTGTTAAGCCAAAAGCTTCAGATAGGATTGCTGAGCACTAGGCTGGGAGTCCAAGCAGCACAGGGCAGATCTTCCCCGTGTCAGCAGACACCTCATGTATTTTCAGTGCTGTCAGAAACAAACCACTCCTTGATATTCCAGAGCGGCAGGGGGAAAGCCTTCCAGAAGTGGTGGTGAAGCCAATATTTTAAAAAGACCCTTCTGAGAACTTGCCAGCCTCCTGGGGGAGCTTGTCAGCATCTCCCACATTAAATGAAAGCCACTTTAAAATCCACAGGGGTTTTGAAGAAAAGCTGGAACACATCAAAGCTGCTGGGATGGCAAGCTTCACAACGTGCACAATACATCAACACTTACAGGCAGTAAATCCTCCCCAGCCTCAGGGGAGCTCGCAGCCCCCCAGAGTAAGCCCTTTCCTAATGTATCTCTCAAATGAACTGCTAATCTCCTCTCTAAACTTGACAGCTGTCCTGCATGCACTCAAACCCCTCTGTGCTTAAATCCTTCTATCATTCTTGTTAAGTCACCTGTTAGATCATCTTTGCTTTAATACGAAAAAATAAATCTTTCCTCCAACCCCAAACAAAGGTGTCACTCACCTGCAGCTGGCACATCCACAGATTTCATACATGTATGTGTGTGTGTGTATTCCCAGGAGCAATCTTGGACTTTCCAAATTCTTGTGGCCAGTGGGAGCTCCCCCACCAGTCTCCCCAAGCAGATTTCTCAGACCCCAGCAGAGCTGATGGCTTCCTGTGCTCAGATCAGCTTGAATTTCTGACACGTTTTCTCGCTGCTCTGAGGGAGCAGAAAACTTTCCCCTTGGCTGGGCAGAGTTTGGCCCGTGGTGTTGAATTCACAGTGCCAACAGCCATTTGTCACTTCTGCTCCAGATGAGGGTTTGCCAGCGTTGCTGTGCAGCCCGGCCACAAGAACTCTCAAGAGACACCACCGAGACAGATGTGCTCTTGCACTGCCCAATTCCTGACAAGGGCTGCCTAAAGGGTACTTTGGCATAGCCAGAAATATTCCCAACTTCCAGCTGAGGACAAAGCAGCAGTTTTTCATGCAGTTCTCAGTGTTTCAAATGTAGAACATTTCAAAGCACACCAAAACACCAATCCTTCCTAGAAGCAGCTGCTTGTCCATTAGCTCTTCTTGACCAAATATTTTGTTTACTGCTTGAAACTGATGAAGAGTTTCACCAAGACATTGGTTCATTCCAGTGTCAACAGTGGGATTCCCTGCTCTTGCCACCAGCACTGTGGCTGGGTGACCCCAATCAGCTGGCATGAGCTTGGTGCAAGTCTGATGATGCCTGACAGCTCTGCAGGGACCTGAGCGGAGCTGTTGAGTATTTGTTCAACACGTGGAACACGCAGGTTCATGGGCAAAAGTCTGGACAAAGGAAGTGATGAAATAACTCCTGCAACATACCCCAGACACTTGGATTTTCAAGGCATGTGAGCTCTGCTGAGCTTTTGGTCAAAAAGAGGATGCTGTTACTGCAGTGCTCATGATAGGTGTCTATCCTTCACAATGTTTTCCCAGTGAGGATATATTTTTATGCTGCTCCAGGTTCTTCATCACTCCCTGCACTGGCAGTGAGGGGAACAGGGCCATTTTCCTCTCTGCCTGTAGCTACCTACACTACAGTGAGTGATATGAAATAATTCACTCTGCCTCTTGAAATGTCTACAGAAGACGAGATTCAACAATTGCTCCAGGAAGTGATGCTCAACCACTCTGACTTATCACCCTGTGCTCTGTCACCCTGTTACCTCTGTCATTCCCTGCTGCCTCCAGAGCAAATCAGGCCCTGAAACACTCTGCTGAAGAGGGCAAAGGTCTGTCATATAACTGCATCTCAGAGATGAGCTCTGGGCTCAGCCTGACACCCCATAACTGTGAAATGTCCCTGTGGTCATCCCATGCAGAACCGTGTCCCACACAAGCATGGTCTGGAACAGAACTTCCTTTGTGAATGTCTTCAGTACTGAAATGAGTTTCAATGAGTTCCAGCCAGAGAATTCATGCTCTGAAACACTGCTTCCATCCAGCTCTACTCCCTGCAGCCATCCTTGTTCCCTGGTCCTCCATACACCCACTTCCCAGGCACTTCATGAGGCTGAGGAGGTGGATCCAGCCTCGTGGTGCTGGAAGGCAGCCCCTGGGGAGGTATTCCTGATACCTGAGCTTATGAAACCTGCCCATTTCAGATGCAAACAAAACACATTGGAAAGCTGCTTTACCTGCCAGAGGAGCATCTGTTAGACTGACAAATCCGGGCCGTGCACGGGGGAGACAGATTTACTTCTGACAAAACTCCACCCACCCCGCTCAGCTCTCACCAGGGGCTGGAAATTAATAGGATTTTTGCATTGTCAGCTCCTCTTGCCCAAAAGGAAAAGCACACCTTATGCTTCCCAAAGGAAGATCTGGTTTCTGGGTGGCCTGACTGGATGGGAACCATCAGGGGCAGCAAAGGGGGTTTGCATCTCCTCAGCACGGTGCCTTGTCCTGCAGGACTGACCAGAGGGGTGAGGGCTGGGCCACCAAAACCTGGGCTCAGCAGGCCCAACAGGTGGGTGCTGCGGGACACTGCTGCCTGTCCTGCTGCCCAGGGCGCCTCTGCACCCACCCACTGCACACAGAGCACTCACAGGCACCGTCTATGGCAGCTCCATCCCTTTCTAGGCTTGAATATTCCACGCTGGTTCCCCATACCAGCACTCCAGTACTGGGCATGTACCTCACCTGAGACCCCAGCCAAACCTTCTCTAACTTAATTAATTAAACCCCACTTCTAACAGGGGTGCAAAGAGGAAATCACCTCTGCCCCACGCAACTTTTTGGCACGGATGGGAAGGCACTGCTGCTCTCCATGAGCTTACAAGGCTCCCTGGAGCCTCTTCCCACCCCTACAGCGCTAAACTCGCCCTGCTGCGGGGGAGACTCCTCCCTGCCAGCGCCGGGCACCGCCGCTCCCGCCGGGCCTGAGCTTTGTCCGGTCCGGCTCACACGGGATGCTCACGGACCGTCCTGCGGCTCCGCCACCGCTCCCGGTCCCGATCCACAGCCCGGTCCCGACCCCCATCCCGGTCCCGATTCCCATCCCGGTCCCGATCCCCATCCCGGTCTCAGTCCCGATACCGCTCCTGATTCCGGTCCCAGTCCCGATCCCGATCCCTATCCCCATCCAGTCCCAGTCCCGATCTCTGTCCCGATCCCGCTCATGATTCCGATGCCTGTGCCGACCCCCATCCCGGTCCCGGTCCCGCTCCTGATTCCGGTCCCGGTCTCGGTCCCGATCTCTGCCCCGATCCCGCTCATGATTCCGGTGCCTGTGCCGACCCCCATCCTTGTCCCGGTCCCGGTCCCGGTCCCGTTCCTGATTCCGGTCCCGCTCCTGACTCCGGTCCCGGTCTCGGTCCCGATCTCTGCCCCGATCCCGTTCATGATTCCAGTCCCAGTCCCGGTCCCGCTCCCGCTCCCGATCCCGATCCCGATCCCCATTCTAGTCCCAGTCCCAGTCCCAGTCCCAGTCCCAGTCCCAGTCCCAGTCCCGCTCCCGCTCCCGCTCCCGCTCCCGCTCCCGCTCCCGCTCCCGCTCCCGCTCCCGCTCCCGATCCCGATCCCGATCCCGATCCCGATCCCGATCCCGCTCCCGCCGCACCTGCGGGACCGGAGCGCGCCCCAACCGCGGCCGAGCCACGCCCTCACGCGGCTCAGCCAATGAGCGCGAGGCAGCTCCGTCCGACAGCCAATAGGAGAGCGGCGACCGCGCCCCCGCCCCCTACTTGAGGCGCTCGGCGCGGCCGCGCGCTCGCAGAGGCGGCGGGAGCGGAGCGGCCGCGGAGCGCTCGGAGCGCCCGGCGCTGCCCGCACCGCTCCGGGGACGGGCCGCTCCCATGGAGGCGTTCCCGGGCACCCAGCTGGAGCAGCACCGGCACCTCCCGCCCGTGGAGTGCCTGCCGGGCGCCCGCTACGGCGGCCGGAGCCACAGCGCCTGCGGGAACGTCTTCAACTCCTGGAACGACTACCTGGGGCTGGCCACGCTCATCACCAAGGCCGTGCGGCCCGGCAAGGGCTTCGGCCCCGAGCCGCCCTCAGTGGTGGTGGCGGCCGCCGTGCCGCCGGCCGAGGAGGAGGAAGACGAGGAGGAGGAGGAGGAAGAGGCGGCGGGGCCGTACTTCGAGGGCGCGCTGGACTTGCATGACCTGGACCTGTGCGGGCATCACCACCACCACCATCACGGCGAGGGGCTGCTGGAGGAGCGCTTCGCCGACTTCAGCCCCTTTCCCGGGCGCGGCGGCCCCGCCGCCGTGGTGTTCGACTGCTCGGGGGAGCACCCGGGCCGGGAGGGCTCTGCCCACGCGTGGGGCGGCGTGGTGGTGGCGGGGCGGCTGCCGGCGCACCCGCGGGCCGCCTCCCGCCTGCTCAAGCCCGAGCTGCAGGTCTGCGTCTTCTGCCGGAACAACAAGGAGGCGGTGGCCCTCTACACCACGCACATCCTCAAGGGACCCGACGGCCGCGTCCTGTGCCCGGTGCTGCGGCGCTACACCTGCCCCCTCTGCGGTGCCAGCGGCGACAATGCCCACACCATCAAGTACTGCCCCCTGTCCAAAGTGCCGGCGGCGCGGCAGCTCCGGCACGCCCGGACCGCCCTGGGCAGGAAGGGCCGCTAGCGGCCGGGGCTCGCCCCGCTGACTCTGCCCCGGCCCCGCGGCGGCCGCTGCGCGCTGGAACGCGCGGAGCCCGGCGCCGGGCCCCGGGACTGCGAGGCGGAGATGCGCTGTGTTTGTTTATTGTAAGAAAAAAATATATCTCTACGTGATTTTTATGGAGACGGCGAGATCTGACTGGGCGGGTGTGCGCGGGGGGGTACCGGGGAGGTGGCGGGGGTCCCCGGTGCCCGCGGGGCATCGGCCGGGAGAGCCGCTCTGCACCGCCCGGTCATAGCAGGGTGTTTAACTAGGGTACAGCACTCCGCCTCTCAGCTCTTAAAGCGAACATCCCAGCGATTCCCTTCGCCGCTTTGAAAAGCGGTGAGCAAACCGCGGTCCGACCTGCCCTCGGTAATTCACACCTGCTGCCCCAAATCGCAGCATCCGAGCGGTCACCCTTCCTCTCGTGGGCACCGATGGCGCTGGTCCCGCAGCTCCCCGTGTCGAATGCTGTTTTAGGGAAGGTCTGAGAGGAGAAAACAGCCAAGTGCGTGTTTGAAAACGTGGTGACTCTGCTAGAGTGCAAACCGAGCAGTAAGGTGGCAATGGATCAAGCTTTAATGCAGCTGTGTTTGTGGTGGAGAATGGGGAAGCCTGATGGAAAGAAACCTGGACAAAGCAGAAAGCTGTGACCGTAGGAGAATGGAAGCAAGGGAGGTTGTTTATTTTCAGGAGTTCAGAGAATGTGGTTAACTCTTTGCCAGTAAAAGGGATCTAGCCATGTGGATAACAAATATCCTTAACACTGCACAGACTACAAAGCATAAGAATTAGACTGAAGTCCTGGACCACTCTGGGAGATGGCAGTTCCTTGGTACTGAATATCAGCCAGGGCTATATAATTTCTAATCCCCAAGAGAAAATGTCTCTTTTCATTGAATTTTGTTTTGTCCGTTTGGTTGTTTTGTTTTGGGCTTTTTCTTTCGAGGGGTTTTTTTTTTTTTTGAGTTTTGTTTTTTTTTCCTACCTAGAGGTAGGACCAGGAGAGGCAGCAGTTTGGAGTTTGAGTACTCTGGAGCAGAAAGATGGATGCTGGAGTTTTCAGTGCAGAGGATCACACTGCTGTGCAGCAGGGAGGTGAAGAGGGCCTTGTGGAGGAACTGCTGGGACATCACCAGGAAGATGAGAAAGGAGATGGGTCCTGACAGAAAAAGGGAACTATGAAAGTGAGGAGTAATCCACACTTGTGTGGTTTGTTTTGAAAAGCTGCTCAGCAGGGTGGCAGATGGGGTCAGGAGAGCAGGACAGTCAAGAATGGAGACAAAACATGTCTCCAAACATGATGGGCTGGAGATGAGAACCCAGGATTCATTATTCACTGCTGTTAACTCCCAGCCACAGCAATTAGGAGGGAAAAACTGATTTTGTGTGGAAGTGTTCCCTTAAATCTCCATCAGATGGCTCCAAAGATGGTGTCAGGTCTAATTATCAAATGCAGTGGGGTTTGCATTAAATAACACAGTGGCTGCAGTTATCCTTGTGTCAGCCTCCTTCTCCTTATGCTTAATACATTACATTTTGTCTCCAGCTCTATGGGGAGTGCACCACAGGCTCTCTAAGATGTTAAAGTTCGATGTGTTTGGTTTTGTGATTCCTGGTACACGTAGCTTTAATCTGTGTCCACCACACATTAGAGTCGAGCTGCAGCGTGAGGCTGTGGGAAGATTTTTCTTCTGTACTTTTGTTACCTCCTTGTGGGAAGTTTGAAGATCCTTCTATACATTTTAATGCAGTTGACTGTTACTGGACACAAAAGCAAGAAAGATCAATGAAAATCTGTCTGGGGTGTTTTCTGAGGGTTACCTGGCCGGGCTGGATTGGAGGTGTTTGCCATGTCCCTGCCCCACCTCTCTGTTCCTCACATGAAGCTGCTGTGCAGTACCAGCCCTATAGCAACGCCTGAAATCCCTCAGGATAACGGCAGATCCTGTGGCTGGATGGCACTGGCCTTCTGCAGAGCCTGTGCAAGAGGAAAACTCGTGTCCACAGCCTGTGCTGCTGCCTGTTGCTCCTGGTTCTGCTCTCCAGGGAGCTGCAGCCTTGCTCTGGAAAGGCCAAGAGCTGCCTGGCCTCGCTGCTACCCAGCACTGGGCATCTCATCAAAGGCTTAACAGGTAAAGTGGAAGAGTAACAGCTTCAAGACCAGTTTGGGGTGGGGGAGGTACAAAAAAACCAAAAACCAAACCTCAGACGATTGCAGAAAGATGACAGGATTCAGCAAAAGCCAGCCTGACAGCAAGGCTTTGCAGTTACTTTATGTAATCATTCAACAGGACAATCTGCCCTTGAAAGATTTACAAGTGTGAGTCTAACAAAGACTAAACCTTAAAGGATTTTTTGACTGAAGTAAGCTGTGATTTCTGGCATACCAGCACACTCCTTGTGGCACTCAGTGAGCATAAACATGCTTGTTCTTGGTCACTCTGCAAAGGTTATTGCAATAGGCAGTGTTTCTATTGCTACTTTGACTCCTTAAATACAGGGAATCATTTGAATTAGTAATTTAAGTTCTAGGAACAGCAAAGAGCTTCATCTGAAATCTGTGAAAAGTGAGATACTATTTTCACTCTTCTACAGGTATTTGCAAATCAAAATATTGTGGTCACCTGTTTAAACTTGTGCATGTAAGTCATGGAATTTTTTCTATAGTGATAGTCTGACAAGAGGAGTGAACACAATATTGGATAATCATCCTCAGCTGGTGTTAGTCTTGGCAAAAGGCAAGCTACTTCTAATTAGAAACTACTTTCAGATGTAGAGGTAATTTGATTCAGCTGAAGGCAGGTAAGTCTGTGCCCATCTTTAGTGGAAATTCTGTTTGGGCAGGTTGCTGTCACTCTGCTGTCCAGTGCCTCAGGTAGATGCCATAAGACCAAACCACAATGGTGACAAAATGTCCTTTTTTTTTTTTCCTTTATTTTTTTTACAGTGCCAGTTTGACCCACCAGATATATAGATTAATTTTTACTAATTATGAGTTGCTAAGAGTTGCATGGGGAGGAAGATATAATTGTAAAATGACTGTTTTCTGGACAAAACAAGTGATTCACTAAAAATGGAACAAGGTTTAGCAAAGCCCCCTGCCCAAGAGAGAAAGGGCTAACAAAACTTAAAAGTGCAGCAAGGGAGGCTTTGATTAGTAAAATGCAGTGGAATAGTTTATAGAATCTCCATCCTACTGTAAGTAAATGCATTAATTTTATTTAAGAGGAGGACCAGACAAAGTGTAGAGCATTTCAGATGCAGCTGGCCCTGCCATGGCAGAAAAGGAAGAATTGTGTGGTTTTGTTACACCACTTGAGTGCCTACTTCTTGCAACGCTGCAGTAAACCACAGATGGGCACCAGTGCCTGATTAACAGGTACATTTTGGATCTTGCATTTCACTGACCCAACGCCTCCCCGTTGTAGGCTGGCACCACTCAGCAGTGCCCTTTAGCCACAGGAGGAAATCTTGCTTACGTGCAGCAGTTCCTGCCAATGACAGCAGCCCAAGGACAGGAAAAATGACACAGATATCTTTAATTTACAGTAAGACAAGCCTTCCAGTACTCTTGCTGTCTGAGATGCCTCCTGGCTGCCCACCCCAATGTCCTCCTGGCCCTCCTCATGGCCTCACTGAGGTCACCGAGGTCATGACATGTTCTGGGCTGCAGTTGTGGCTGTGCCCAGTCAGGAGTAACACCACTGCACCCTGCCAGTTCCCATAAATATGAATTTTGTAAAAAAAAAAAAAAAAATTTAGTTTTTATAGGTAAAGCACTCTAGAGAAAGCATAAATATAATGCCAGTTATGCCCCCCTTCTGCTGAGGACCCCGATGGCCCTCAGTCCTGCCCATGGGCTGGGTCAGTGTCTGGACTGCTCCTGGAGCAGGAAGGAAACAGCACTTTTCATACCTGACACTGCCTTGCTGGAGATTTATTTTAATCCAGCAACACTTGCATCCATTCAAACAGCAGCAGCCTTAAGTTCTGCCTTCTAAATACAGCCTGTGACAGTTTGTATCCTTGTAAGGGTCACTGAAAAATTTAGCTGTTTAACAGAATATGACTCAAGGCAAAGACTGACACAGAACTCATTTGGCTTCAGCAACATTTTCAGGTAACCAAATTTTGTGCACATGTTTAATGGTGGCAGGAGGTGGAGGTTTGAGCTGTTGGATTTGGTCAGCAGAGGTTTTTGGTCACTGTCAGTATTGTGTCTAAACAGATCAAGCAATAAAATAAACACACTGGCATGCCTGCAAAGCTCACATCTCCCCAGCCTCTTCTCAAGCTGCCCAGTCCTGAGAATGTAACACTCATTGACAACATTGCCACAATCTCAAATAATGCAAATTAGTAACACAGATTGAGAAACAGCTTTAGCTGGCGCAGGGATGACTAACACTCATCCCGGTGTGAAAGTGTCTTTGTGTGGATACAATTAAAGCTATGTAACTGAGGATATAATCACTATTTACATATTACAAGGGTGGAGAAAGGCAAATGTTGTGCCTGTTGTTGATAAAAGGCTGAAAGGACCATCTGAGAAAGCACAGGCCAGATGGTATCACTACGGTTCCTGGGAAAATCAAAGGAAATCCTTCCAGAATGTCTTTTTGGGAGATGCAGAAGATGACTGGGAACAGCCAGAATGAAATTACTGAGGGTAAGCCATGCCCGGCTCACCTGCCTTCTATAATAAAATATCTTTGTGGACGAGGGAAGGAGCACTGGAGGTTCTTGATCTCAACTTTAACAAGGCTTTCAGCACTGTCTCACACAATATGCTTGCACTCAGCTCAGGATGCTACAGCCCACATAACAATGGGGGCAGAAAACCTGGCTGGATGTCCAGGCTCAGCCCTGTGGGCAGGGGGCTGGGCTGGAACCATCCTCCAGGTCCTGGAGGCACCACAGGATCCCAGCCCACACACCTGGGACAGGGCTGCTGGCCAAAGGGATGGACAGGAGTCTGCCCAGCCAAGGAAGGAGCCCTTGCAGTGGCAGGCTGGGGGCTCAAACATCTCTGGGCCCTGGCAGGGAAAAGGTGAGCATGAGCCAACAGGTCCCAGGCTGTTTGAGCTGGGCACTGAAATCTTTGGGCCAGGATCCCAGCCTGTAGAAGGGAAGGGTCCCCCTCAATTCACCTCTTCTTTCCTGTGTGCTCTTTCCCCCCATACAAGGACTCGGCCAAATTTGAGTTTAGCAGAGGACCAACAGTGTCCAGGGGCTGGAGCACATGCCTGGGAGGAAAGGCTGAAGGGACAGGGCTTGTTCAGCCTGGAGAAAGGAATGGTTTTAGGGGAGACCTCAGCTCACAGTGAGCAGAGAGACACAGGGTAAAAGCCAAGAGAGAGGTTTAAACTTTTTGAGGGTCACAAAAATGACCAGAGAGCTGGAGCACTCCCCCTGTGAGGAAAGCCTGAGAGCTGAGGTTTTTCAGCCTGGAGAACAGAAGGTTCCAGAGACCTCTAACTGTGGCCTTTGAAGGGGGGTTGTAAGAAGGATGGGGACAGATTTTTTGGCAGATTGTGTTGTGATAGAAAAAAGGGTAATGGTTTTAAACTGAAGAATGGTTGATTCAGATTAGATAGAAGAGGTTTTATAACAATGAGGGTGGAAAACACTGGCACAGATTGCTCAGAGAAAGGGTGGATGCTCCATCCCTGAAAACATTCCAGCTCTGAGCAATGTGATCTAGTTGAAGATGTCTCTACTCATTGCAGCTGAGGGCTGGACTGGATGACCTTTGAGGTCACCTTTCACCCCAAACCATTCTGTGACAATGATTTTTAGATTTGGAGCTAGTCAAGCATTGGAAGAGGCTTCCCAGAACAGTTGTGCAGTCCTCAGCCTTGGAGGTCTTCAAAACCACACTGAACAAACAAGAGTTCTTAGTAGCACAGGAATTTCACAGCCAGCAGTGGAGCGAGCTCCTGGGTCCCCTTTAACAGCATCCAGTGACACAGAATGCAAGGACAGCAGGAGGTGGCTGAAAAACAGCAGCAACCCCTACTCCAGATCCAGTAAGAACTTTTACTGGATGGCTGCTGGTCTCTAGCTCCATCCCTTTTGGAACTGTATAAAGAACAAAAAATACAGGTTTTTTTATGCTTGGAAAACACTATTTTTCTGAAGGAGTCATGTGACTCAACCAGCAATGACAAGAGATGATCCAAAGACACAAAAATCAAGCCCTGAGAGCAAGTTTTCCCAAAAAAAAACCTACTGGCCCTGGATAACCCAGAAGAGGGCAGGGAAAGGACAAGAGGAGTATTACAACTTCTGTTCACACACCAGGTTTCTCAGGGAGAAACCAGCCCAGGTGTTCTCTCACCTTCTCCTTCAGTTGATACAGAATAAGTCTGAGAACAGAAAATGGTTGTTCAATAGCTGTTCCACATGAACACAAGGTGCAGGACTCACTAAAAAGTTAAGACACTGCAACAGCTAATTCCTTAACTTCTTTATTTATCATTGAAGAAACAC